TATTCTGACGGTTATAAGGCCTTTAGGAAGGCACGATCTTCCATAGAACCGGGGTACGTCTTTTACAATTATACGGGGCCTAGGGCCTTTCGGTTTTCTAAGCGCAACCCTACTGATTTAATGGCGTCCACAGATTCCAGTTTCTTAAGCTGCCGTTCGTTAGCTACACGTAAAAACGTAACAGTACTCTGAAATGAAGTGGGCGGACATGTCTTCAGGCGGACTGATGGTCGCTGAAACCGACATGAACTATAGTGGAAGCCCCGATTAGGCAAACGTAGTGCAGAGCGCCCTGCTGCACGACGGACCGATGACTTAAGGAAAAAAGCCTGGCAGCGGATGGATGCGGGACTGCCCCAAGACTGGGATGGTTGGCGCTCCTTGGGGAGACCTTGTTTGTCCGTGTATACTCAGAAAGACAGAAGGGAGAACTGTCCCATTCTTCTCCTGTTCTATTGTGTAGTTCGCACCTCCGAAAGGCTTTGCCTTGTTGGCAATAGGTATATCTAAAATGCTCACCCAAAAGTTCTCTAATGATATGCGAGAGTCCGACGATATTTATAACATTTATTTAATATTAGTTGGCCAAGGAACGTACTGTGGTATAAAAAACGTGTAAGGTACATACAGGAAAGTGATTTTAGCATTTATCGCTTCCGTTCAAAAATGTTGGTCTCAAGGATGAGTCCAGTAGGCGACCGTAAGCGAAAATCAATAAGTTGGCAGAATTAGCAAAAGACTTCAACGGATGTGGCAAAATGGAAGCGTTTGTATTTCATTTGTATAAAAAGTGAAGATATGAGATTGTTGTTTATTACGGCTTTTGACATTGTTTGCTTACATTATGGTGAGGTAAAGGTGTAATATAATTGCGATGGCACTAGTCCGCACTCCAACAACGGAAAAGTTTGAAAACTTACCCCCCTAGCAGCCCCTTTTTTCCTTGCGCCTAGCCTAATATTTATATAAAAATTTATGACTACAGCCTTATACTTTTTTTCTGCGATGGGGTGATAAACCCCTAGGGTCTCCTGTCGGCCATCCGGGGGCCCGCCATTGCGGCAATTGCAAGAGCCAGACCTAACCTTCCCGACTAAAAATCACCCCAGGGCCCGGGCCTCCTTCTTGGGAAGGACCGGAGCATGTCATTTAAAACTTCCCCCCGAAGGGACAACGCGTTTATCCAGGCTCTATCAAGCCCAAAAACAACCCAAATGTGGTTTGATTGCATCTTGATGCACTTATGCCGCTACTCTATTTCCAGTCTTATTAGGCCTATTGGTAAATTAAGTCATGCATATCACAACCGAATTTTAAATACATGGGTATATGAATAAAAATATAATTAATTTTGTTTTGCAAACACAGATAATAAGGTTTGAAAATTCAACTCAAAACTCATGCCGCTAAAAACATATTACTAAATTTACTTAAACAGATTATCATCAAATGTTTAAGTAAATAAACTTACGTGTATGCCATCCCAGTTAAGTGATTCTTCTTTATTTTGTTTTTGGTAGCATAAATCTATCTTTTTTTAGCTCTCCACCACGAAATGTCTCTTCTTTTAATGGACTGACTTCTTTTACCTGCAGGTTTAAGATTTCCAAAGGTTTTTTTTTGGAAGTTCTTAGCATATAAAAGACATGGAAAGTTTCTTTACTTTACAAAAATAAGACCAGGTTAAAATTCCGAAAAAAATTCAATTAATAATGTTTAAATTTGGGTGACAGTCACGTAGGTACAAGATATTCTGGTGCATAAGCCCCTTTTTAAAAAACCATAAAACCATGGTAACCGTTAAAAGACTTTAGTGGACTTTTATAATTGCAATAACAAAAACCATGTCTTCATCAGAAACATATTCGCCAATTTTAAAACACACTTAAATAAAAATTACTTACTTTACAAAAACTATATTTTATATACTTTATTCTTGATCGGATTAGACTATTTATTATTTTTTTTTAATAAAAATAATCATCATCATCAGCCTCTAAGACAAGAGTGATTTATAATAAAAGCGTTCGTATGAATCAAATTAAGAACGTTATAAAAGCGCCAACGCTGGGTTTTAACGCAACGTTTTTTTAAACTCTCATGCGAATGGGCCTAATAGTCTACGGTTGGACACCAAGTCTCCCCTTTACAGAGGAGGTTTTAGCTGTTATACAGATCTTAATATTTGTCAACAAAATTAATATTTTCTATCTGACTTTATTTAAAATTCACGTACCTACACGTATTAGTTTATTTATTTATATATACTATATTTAAAAGATGTATTTTACGTTAATTTTAAAGTTAATCAATGTTAATGTGGTGACCGATTAAGAAACGGGGTATCACCACCCCTATCATTCCGTGGGGTCGTAAGAGTCGACTAAGGGGCGACTCTTACGACACCCACGGGATGAACAATACGTAGAACAACAGCACTGCAAAGAGAAGGAACCGGGAAATGCTGTTATGAAAAACATTCGGAAAACACCTACCCGTCTAGCCGGTGTGATATAGTAGGCCCAAAAACCTTCTTTGTAAGGAGAGGCAAAACCTTCTTTGTTGGGTGATGATGAACGTTATGTTTTTTTTAATTTTAAAACAAAATTAATACGAAATAGACAGCTTACCTTAAAAAAGCCACTCCGCAAGGAATATACAAAAATATATTGACAAGGGTGAGGCAGAGCGATGCTGTACCTAAAAAGAGGGTAACTCCGATGGCTGATGTTTCCAACCAGTGCTGCTTTTCCGATTTTACCACTAGGGGTGTCAAAGCCATCGAACCAGAGAAGACCCTGTAAGCACAATTAAAGTAGTAAATGTGGAAACTGAGATGACCGATCTTCGATTTATCGAATACCTTCTAGAAAAAGAACTCAGATACATTCACATATAAACTTGGTAAATTGTTAGTTAAATTTTCGGAAGGAACGCTTTACTATAACTCAGAGCATTGTATAGCTTATGTAAACAAATGTATAGGAAACAATCATTCCAGAGTCGTAACCGTAATGCTTACAATTTCATTCATAACTATCCTCTCTGCAATAAACATTTTTTTCCTAATTTTCATTTTTTTATTATAGGTTAAAGACAGATATAAGCTAAAATATCTTAGAATTCGGTAGAGGAGAAGCGAATTCTAAAATACATTATGACGTCAGTTTATCTACGAAATAGTCAAACTGATATCAAATCTCAATCGGCCTGGATCCTTTTGCCTCATGTAAATTGAACTAAGATAATTCATGTACAAGTGGCCTTTGGAGGATTGTCGTTAATCCCTTTCTATAAAAGTTATTAGGTCCTTTCTTCATCCCAAATATCTCCCTAAAATATTTAAGATATTGATTGAGACAACATAGTCCCTTATCATTTTATTGTTTGACTAGCCGTCTCAAGTTAGTTTCAACTTCGTTTATGTTAAGCGATTTTATTCCTTTTGTGATGTCATGTCTTTCTAAAGAATTTAATTTTCAAATACAATAACAATTTTTCTCATCCCACTGGAACTTCAGACATTAAAAATGCGCAAACGTAAAAAGAAATACTCAAGTTTTATTATATGTTTCAGTCAGTATAGATTGTGTTATCAAGGTTTTTAAAGATATTGCCTTTAAAAGCACAATACCGAAAGGCACTAGAGGGAAAAAATTGGTATGCCAATCCCGACGTATTCAAACAGTGAAGAGCAGATCCCGTAAGTATTGTAAAAAGTATTATCATCACCCCCATTTAAGGAGAAGGGCATAGGCATCCTCTTAGTAGGGAGGTTTTGGCCTACTTTATCAGAACTGGCCAGGCGGTTCAGGGCCATTATAGGATAAATTTTTCGTCTATTTCGCTGCTCTTTGCTTCCTTAGTTGGTCTTATGACACCCACGGGATGAATAGGGGTGGTAGCACTCCGCATTCTTAACCTGTCACAACAGGGGACGATAAAAAAAAACATTCTTGTAAAACAATCAGTTTAGTAACTTACTGCATTTACAGCTGGAGGTAATAAGGAGCGGAGTGGCTACTCCTACTAGGGATGCTGTGTAGTAAACCAAGCACCCTAGAGCACAGCAGCACCACTCGGAAATCGCGACGAGTTATACCGATCCAGAGGGATCGATGCGCGCATCTAAATGATCCAAATGTTTATTAATACCGCTATCTATTCAAAATTATATCGCAAACCACAAGATAATACTAAAATGGATAGGTTCATTGTCCGGAGAAAGAAAGTTTAAAGGAACAAAGAGGGCAAGTCAGCGCCTCGTTTGTTAGAAATTAACGTTTTAACGAAGAATAACGGTAAGAGATCAGAAAAGTAACTGGTTTTTCTATGCATTTCTTAGACGTATGCGGCATGTCATGACAAACGTAATTTTGTATAATTCTGTACATATTATTCAGCACTACCTAAAACAGTTCGTAAGTTTTAAAGGGAAATTAGCTTATTAATAATTTCACATAAATACTACTACTATTTTTATAATTAGCTACCTTCCTAACATTTGCTGTTGGCCATTCTTCAACAACACCATATAGCTCATCAAGACCACATATGATAAGTCCAGCAAGAAATCCTACGACGAGTACCAAAAATAAGGCCGAGAAACTCGTTCTTAACTCCCATCAGTTGAAGAGAGCGATCTCTTTACTGCTGAAACCCAATGTTCCTGTTTTTAATTGGACCCTGGAAAATGGTATTCAAAATTAAAGTCATCAACCGTAATGCCAGTATTTTAATATCAAGAAGAATTATTCAAAGGTGATTACTCCAGGGATTAGCGCTTTTATGGCAACCACTAATTGAACCCAAAAAATCATCTTATTATATTGGTATGGATATCCTTACTTTCTGTTTTAACCCACTATCTCAATATACGTTCAAAATGACCGCCCATGAGTTTTATGATGGTCACGTCATAAGAGTAAAAAATAACATGAGTTCATTTTATAATAATGACTATTCCCCACAATGACTACAAGAGAATGTAATCAATTTATTTAGAAGTTAAGTAAGGGTACCATTAGTGGTGATAAGAGCATACTAGCTACAAAGGATAACGGTGGAGTTTCAATCAGTCCTATAGCTGCTACGAATGCGGCGACCAGCAGCATGAACACCCAGTCGAAGGTAAGTGTTCCTTTGGCCCTGACGTCATGTATACTTGCGCCAGATTTGTACGAGCGCGGACTGATGTCGAGAATCGGGACCATGCCGTATTAGATTCACTGGAAATAAAATAATATTTCGTTTAATACATTTCACTGAAAGGAAAACTCGTAAAACTAAGAGGAAAAAACTATTACCCTTCATCCTTCGTTTATTTATCATTAAGAAACTTCCACATCACTTTACCCAGGCCAAGGGTGATGTGGTATTTCGGAATCGAACGACTAAAAAAATACACGTGTTCAGTCATGATTGAGTCGATTTCTGGGGACTCGGGTATATCCTAAGAATTAAGTCCTCAAGAACTTCGGTAGACTTGGCTGCGTCTTCAACGTTAGCCGTCTTATACCCTTGCTTACGAAGCCCCTTAATCTATCTCCTCCAGTTTAAAAGAGTCTCAGTCCTGCTTCTACTAGGTTTAACGTACAGCTTAACCCGCTTTCTATGGAAAGGAATAGTATAAAACCCCCTACCGTACCTTTAACGTGCCTTACTCTATAATGTTCTTTAGAATTTGGGCTCATTAATAAAAATATTTTTTCGTTCTTGGTTCCCGATTTTACCGTTATTATGTTATTATAATTTGTTCACAATTTACTTGAACAACCTACATATGCCTAATAAAATTGACAAAACCCCTAATGTGTTACGCCCTACTAAGTTTGATTTACTGATTGAGAGTAGGGGTTAAGAGGGGTTGAAGAGCTGAAGAGTAGAGGTGTCTAATAATTGTTAACTACAGCCCATAATCACATGCAATTATTCTATCTAAACCATTAATTGATGCTGTGAATCATGGTCAAGGTCTCCAATAAAGTCTTACAGCTAATTGGCAAACTGAACAAAATTTGTGCTATTTTTTTTATAGTGTATTAATAGAATAATTACGTTCTATTAGACTTAAAACGCCTCGTATCAAACATGAAAAATTTGATACAAGGCGTTCAAAACTTGAAGACTTGGAAAAATCAAACCTTAAATTTATATAGTCAAATTTTGTGTACTTAGGATCCATCATTCGTTACTTGGGATTATAATCCTTATGGTATTTAAAAAGCAGTTTAATTATTAAACTTTTCCCCTGAGAATTTTAACTAAGGTGCAATAAATTAAATTAAAATCGGACTCTCTTGGAACTTCTTTGCAATGATCAGACAATTCAGTCAGAAAAAATACATTAAAATACCTAAAAAAAAATACCTGTCTGACGGCATCTTCAATTTCTGTAGTGGTTGGATCCGATCGTCTGACTTGTAGTACAAGGCGCAAGGTAGGAGAGAGACTGATGACTGGTGACGTGACCCTATGCCCAAATGTCCCGAGAACTTGTAAAAGTTCCTCACTTAGGTTGCCTGACTCTATCGAGAACGTGACCTGTAAAGTAAAAAAAACAATAATTTTATGTCACATTCAAGCACGCTAAAACCCTTTACTCGCAAGTGGTATTGAATCTTTAACAATTAATAATTTAATAGAATTCGTTGGGGCCTCATCTTAGCAAAATTCACGCACGGAGAAATGTGAAATTTGCAATAAAGTAATGAATGTTTTAAAAATTACGGACGTGTCGATTGTCGCCGTGTGTACGTGGGCGGTAGGGAAAAGTATTACATTGTCCATAAAAGATTTTCCGTACCGTACATAGATTATACTGGGGTTTTGGGGCATTTTTAAAAACCATCAAATTAATCACATAATCATTATCATCCATAGATCCACTACTAGAATAGGCTCTCCTTTGCTTGCAACTTAGTTTAAATCGATTAATATTTCCTAAAATTTTGAAACTTAGAAAATATAGTGTTATCATCTTTTGGGGCAAAATATTCCCAAGTGTTGGCAAAAGGATAGCCAAGCCAGATCACCGCAGCGAAAGGAGTGAGTTTGTGTCTCGGCTTAAAGAGAAGGGGCCCTCAATTTCAAAACCCTGTTTCTATTTTTTAAACACTTTCCTGATATTTTTAATGAGAACTACTTTGGTCTCTATCTCTAACTTTACAGCGCGGGCCCCTAGTATAATCGAGAAGAATAATATCTAGGACCATTTTAAAAAATTGCACCGTCATTTAAAAAACGCAAAGGGATGAAATAAAAGCCTATTAAAAACTTTGTTTAAATTAAGTTTATTTTTAATAAAGGAAAATTTTATGTAACAGGGTGTAAGGGGCTCGTAATGAAAGTGTATTCAGACATGATTTGAGTGGAACATTCAATTTTTTGGTTGAAAATGATATGGAATGAGTAAACAGAAAATTTTCCGAAAAAAAAAAATTATAACAATGGTTGGATTGTTTTCATATTTCTCAAATGTAAAAAAATACTTATACAAAGAGAAACCAATATTTTCTTTTTTAAAGAATTATTATACAGGCACTGGCCCCTTCCTGTCAATGTCAATTTAAAAATAGTTAACAGTTCAATAGTTCAAACCGTTGGTCACATTACGCGTTTAATGCCCACACCACTTTTGGGGGCTATTCCAAGAGGGGAGGGGGGACATATTAAAAAAAAAATTTTTTAACTACAATTTTTTAACCCATTTAAAGTAATAGGGGGCTTTCTTGTTTCCGTTTCACGGGGGCACTTTAGAATTAGAATTAACCATTAGAGGGAAGTAGTAGGTGGATAAGAAAGGAAGGGAAAAAGGTAGCAAAGTATTGGAATAATATCAACAAAAGCCTTATTTGTCCCCCGCTTTCATAGGCCTCCCTTAGGAAGGAGGGTTTTGGGGCCCAAAAATACTTGCTGACCACAGGGTTGTAATAGGGATTGTGTCAAGTTTTCCCTTCCTTGTAGTGCTATTTTCTTGCTAGTTTGCTCCCTTAATTTGGGTCTTTCCCACCCCCGGGATGAATAGGATGTTAAATTTTGTATTCTTATTCCCTCACCACGCGGAGGGAGTATATAGGAATTGCTAAAAAGTACAAACCTTATAAACCCATTTTACCTATGATTCAATATTAAAAACATGTTACGTTCAGAACTCTTAATG